TGAGACAATATTTGCTATTTCCCTAATGTAATTTCAATGGAATTCTATGTCTAGTTGCTCTTTATTCTTTTCTACCTATCCAGGTCATGATTCTACAAAACAAGATGACCATAAATGTGTCTAGGAGTAGGAATGTTTGGAATAGAGTTCCCCATCTCCTATACCTCTGCTTTCTACATTGTGTTAATTGCCCTCCTCTGTGAAAGACACTGTTACTAGGTGTGACAGTAGAAAGATTTACTTAATTTGGTTTTGTGAATACAGTTGTGGTAGATAGGGCATAGCAGATACTGGAGATTTTTGCAGCATTTGTACTTTAATGCATGGTACCCTTTTTTCTCAAACACATATTTGCATATCTGTGTGGGATATGGGGGATGTCTGTGTAAAGTTTTTTTGTTTATGTTTGCATGAAACACCTTTTTTTTTTCCCGTAAGGTTTCACCATGGGTTCGTGACATAATTTGGCCTATGATATGTACTGTATCATCAGAATAGGAACACGCTTTTAAGGATGTGATGTAGAGTGATGGAAAAGGCCACTGAATATTGATTAATTCACCAGACCTTGGAAAAGGCCTTGACTTTAGAGGAGTTTGATCAGGAGATCTGTGGAGCCTTGAGAAGTTATATTGCCTGTAATTCCCATCTAGATGTTGATGGAGATTTGGTATGGGTGTGCCATGGCAATTGCTCATAGTACTGGGATGTTGAAGGCAATGGAAAAGTGAATTGTCATCCCCTGTATTTTTGTTATTGTTAAACTAAATTCTGGCAAGTGTTAAGTGGCTCTGAATATCCTTGACCAGAAAGTAAAATGAAGAATTCTGAATGCATGAAATATGTAAGGGGGAGGATAAAGCACAATACAATAAAAATGAAAAGGAAGAAAATTCTGATGCTATGAGTTAGGTATTTGGTTGACACCTGAGAGCTCTTTTGAAACACGAATCTCTGCTAAAGCAGTACGAACTGCAAGAGAATTGCAAGGGTATTTGGTCAGGACCCAACCAAATATAGCTTAAGATACTGAGTATGATGTATTTGGGAAGCAATGGCATACTGCAAAACATAATCTACTCAGTAGAAAAATCCCCACATATATGCTTCAACTGTAAATAAACATGACAAAAGCTTAGAAAAATTATTTGAAGAACTTAAAATATAATAACATACACTAAAAGTAACATCTACACTTTGTAGTGGCAGATGTTGATGTAAGGCAGTAAAGGAGCCTATGGGGATGTGGGTAAGGAGTGTCAATTAAGAATATGACAAAATTAATACATTCTGATTAGGAAGAAGAATACCGTATGTAATCACAAATACCACATTCGAATTGCAACCAATGGAAAACCATGGAGTTTGGTATTTAATACTGTCACAATTCAAATGCATTATATTTTAGATAGCAAAATAATGTTATCTGATTGAGACTAGAAGCCTCAATCTGCTGGCGGCAGCCAGGTGAAGCCTCCGAGCTCTCGTGCCTTCACCCACAGGGGCTGCTCCAAGGGGCAGGCACGTGGGTGTGTGTATGTGACTATTATGCGAGGAATTGCAAAATCCCTAAACCGGGACCCCAGAAAGGGGAATGTGACTATTATGAGATGGCGACTATTATACAGTGAAATATAGGGTATTTTAATATAAAGAAAAATGCCAAAGCTTGTCATGATCTTAATGAGCCATTTCTGAAACATTTTCTTCAAAGAGTACAGAACAGAACCTACATGAAGTGAGAAAGAGTAGCAGAAGACATGCAATTTGGATTCAGAATTTAGAATTAGGGAACTCTTATTCTATATACAATGTATATTATGATCATTTATTTATTAATTTATTTATTTATTTTGTGTCAGGAGCGACTTGAGAGAGAGTCGCTTCTGGTGTGAGAGGACATTGCCCAGGGAACGCCTGGATTTTTTTTGATGTTTTACCATCATTGTGGGAGGCTTCTCTCATGTCCCCGCATGGGGAGCCGGAGCTGACGGAGGGAGCCCATCTGTGTTCTCTCCGGATTCGAACCTGCAACCTGTCAGTCTTCAGTCCTGCCGGCACAAGGGGCTCCTATATTATGATATATATTTTTGTCGTGTCAGGAGCTACCTGAGAAACTGCAAGTCGCTTCTGGTGTGAGAGAATTGGCCGTCTGCAAGGACGTTACCCAGGGGACGCCCGGATGATTTGATGTTTTATCATCCTTGTGGGAGGCTTCTCTCATGTCCTCGCATGAGGAGCTGGAGCTGATAGAGGGAGCTCACCCGCCTCTCCCCGGATTCGAACTTACGACCTGTCAGTCTTCAGTCCTGCCAGCACAGGGGTTTAACCCACTGCGCCACCGGGGGCTCCTGTTAGGGTTATGTTTCTCTTGTACCTATATTATGATGGTACAAGAGAAGTGGAGCAAGAAAGAGGATGTGTATTGGTATCTCCATTCAACTTAATGGAACTATTTTAAATTTACATAATCTCTCATTGTCATAACTTACACTGTTGAAGGAGCTGGAGGAACATAGTATTTGGAGAAACCCTGTAAATTGGCAATAACTGTTATTTAAGGGTTTGCACCTATGAGAATGTTGAAAATAGGCAAACATGATCTTTAAGCTTGTCGGTGTTAGTGCAGGACAGCAATGGAGATCTCAGTGTACTGTTTCATGAAAGAAAGGTGGATCTTTTGGGATGCGTGGACCAGTTTTTGCATCATGGCCTTTCTGTCCTAGCTGTGCGAACTCCAAAGGACATGCTAATTAGATCTGCAAGTTTCTTATTGTACATTATGGCAGAAGTGTGGAAAGAGACTCAATAAAATTCTTGAATTTTCTTTTGCTGCTTTTGAGTAATATCAGAACTAGTTCCAGTTTAGGGACTAGTGACTAATTTCGATCCCATCCCACTCAGAGATATTAAAATAAGATACGTATTCCAGGATAAGTGCTATCTCATAATACAAGGAGATTTAAATGGATTAGAATTGGGGAGTTATCTCTGTTTATCCGAGCCATTCTGCTTTGTCTCTCCAGGTACTGATTCACAGGCCCAGTGCACTTAAGTGGTCCCTAATCAGAGTTGCTCATTAGGTTCGTCTGAGTCCACATTTAATTGCCATAAGAAAACAATAAGAATGCTGCAAGAAAAAAAACTCATTACAACACAGTTACTATCCTCTGAAATGCAGCCATGTATAAGTTTAGAAGGAAAAACATAAAGGGAAGGGGTTTGCTTAACAAAAATTGGTGGACAAATGTTGCTAAGAGGATAGGTAGGGGTGGCTCTTGCTGTGTTACCTCTTGACAGTATAGGTCCAGGAAGTATTAGAGTAAAATGAAGAGGTGATGATCATAATCGTTGTTTTATTTTGTCGCACTTGAAGCAGTCACAAGCAAAGTTCTTGGGATGGTCCCCAGCTTTTGATTAAATTAGCTGAAGTTGGGATGGAAGCCAGTTACACATAAGGAATAGGAATTGCTACCTTTGAAATATGTGTGTCAGTGTGTGCGCGTGTGCATGTGTGTGTGTGAACAAATGGAAAGCAATATCCCTCAAATATAGAAAGTGTTGCTTTGTGCAGAGTGGCAGTTTATTTTCTGTGTAAAAGGGAATCAAATATTTTATTTACTGATTAAATTTTTTAAAATATTTATATTCTGCTTTCCCCACCTAATGAGTGGCTAGCAGCACATTAAAACCAATACTAATAAAAGTCCCAAAACAAAAAACACAAAAAACATTGATTGAATGTAAATATTAGAGTATTAAAATTAAGCACTTTGAAATGATAATCTGAATAATATACAGAAGGAAAATCAACCAGATCTCCTGGAGAGAACAGAAGAAAACAGGTTTACATAGATAGGCTTTCTCACTTTGGCGGCTCCAGTTTAAGCTTAACAATACATGCACGTACATGTTTTGGTGAAAATGTGGGGAAAATGTTAACGTGGCAACAAATTATCCCGAAGAGTCACTTAGGGAAATGGGTGAGGATTGCTGGGCATTGCTTCAACCCCACTGTATTTCTGTGACAGCAAGAAAATTGTCACTGACACCATATTCCTCTGAAGCTTTATGTAGGCAGTTGTTTGTGTGAGTAGTGGTGCGGGTCCAGATGGGCAATTGGTATCCTTCATAGAGCTGAATTTGGCTTCAGGGGGTGCCAGTTGCTAACCTGCAATACACTTGAAATTGTACACTAATGTTCCTTCGCATAATTATAAGTACATATGAATTAGTCAACTAGTTATGTGTGTGCATGAGCCCCTGAATCGATCGATCAATCTAGGATAATTAGAAAGTTTTTAACTTTCCTGTAAATAAAGTAAAGAAGCATATATAGATGAGTGCAGGATGATGGTTGGGGTTTTTTTTTACCTTTGGAAACGTGATCAACATATATCCATTTTCAAACCTGATCTACAGAAACACTTTTTATTTCATATCTTTGGTACATCTAATGGGTACATGTGCTTTTTCTAATGGTTTGTTGTCTAGCATGGCCTTCAGTCACATCTAGGAGTCATGTTTTACTCACCCAGTGTCTTGAATGGATTTAATGGCAACTTGATATTCATTCATTCAATGCTGGCGGAATCTTCTTGTTATGTAGATAAATTGGTGATATAAGGTTAATATGATCAACTTTTCTGTGTCACACTATTGTTTATGTCAAAATCTTGGCTCTCCTTGTTGCATCACTTTTTCATTCTGTTAATGCAATTAATGTTTATTTATGGATCTCACCTCTACTTCCTATTGTGAATATAGGATTAGGGAGTCATCATTTTTACTCAAAATTAATCTGTTCCAAGGCAAGTTAAAGGTGGGATATTACATATGCATCTCTAGACCTAGGTTTCAGAAAACTGTTGAGCATAAAATCTTAAACATTCATAGTTGAAACTTGGACTTTGGAAAGACTTTGTGAGAAAAGCCACAATGCATTCTGCTCTGTTCTGTGGTCCCAGATTTTCATTACAAATCCTTTCTTTCTCTTGCAGCATCTTGGCAACAGTCGGCACTGAATTTGACCTGCGGACGCTGCGGGCGGTTCGTGTACTCCGGCCACTAAAGCTCGTATCGGGAATCCCAAGTAAGTCAGTTTTCAGTTCATAGCCTACAAATAACTTGCAGACATTCTGAATCATCCTGATTTGAAGCCACGTCTTACCATTTTCTCATAGCATATAAGCCAAATTGCTCCTCATTTCCCTGTAACACCTGGGTCTTCCAACAACTTCTGAACTGACCACCACCACCACCGATTGAGGTGCTTGACTGTAATCCTCTTTTGAAATCTAATATGCAGACAAAGCCTCTATGAGATCCAGTTGCAGTCCTATGGACAGTTTCCTGAGAACAAGTGTCACAGAATAAATAAGGATTTACTGTTGAGTAAATATAAACGGCTGTGGGGAGGGAGAACTTGGGGATTATTTTAGTACTGTTCTGGTTGTTCTATGTTAGAGTCAGTGTGGTTTGTTTTTTTAAAAAAAATTGGGTCTTTAAGTTGTATCTTTTTGGAAATTTAATAAAAATTGAATAAAAGGTATAAACACAGCATTGCATTACCAGTCCCTTACCCAGGTTTGTGATTTCCTAAAACTTGTTTCCAAGGTTCTTATATCTTGAGATTAATCTCAAACAACTATGGTATATCCCATTTTTTCATGCTAGAGCCGGGGTCCTCAAACTTTTTCAGCTGTAGAGCCCTTTTTGAAGCAAAAGTTTCTCATGAAGCCCCAAAAATCTTTATATATTTATTCTATATTCTATTATATATATTGTATTTATATCAGGCATGGGAAAACTTTTTGCCCAGCATGAACTTGACAGTGTTTCAGTAGAAGACCACAGGGGCCATCCAGTCGAACCCCCTTCTGTCATGCAGGAAAAGCACAATCAAAACTCCCTCAACAGATGGCCACCTAGTTTTTGTAATAATAATAAAAACAACAACAACTATAGGAACAAACCCAGGGGCCATCCAGTCCAACCCCCCTCTACCATGCAGGAAAAGCACAAAGTACCCCCTGAGCAGTGGGAGGGAAATAGGGTTTTGGCAAGGGAGAAAGAATCTGTGTGGCAAGGAAGGTAAGGGAAAAAGGCTTTGGGTGGCAAAGGAGGCAAGAAAATAAGGCTTTGGGGTGAGAGAAGGGAAGAAAAAGGGCTTTTGGGGCAAGGGAGGTGGGGAGGGGGAGGGTAGGAGTAGGAAAGAGGAGGGAAAGCTTGGGGGAGGAAAAAAAAAAGCAGAGCCCCTCAGTATACTTCACAGAGCCCCAAGGGCTCTACAGAGCACACTTTGAGAACCACTATGCTAGAAACTGAAGAAAGTAAAACCTTGTGTGAATAGAAGCTGCACTGCACCCAGAACCATTATCAAAATCAAGTTCAAAGGTTCCATCTAAAACTTTATGTGGAAGATCTGATCACTTCTAACTTAACTTCCACAGTGGTCTGTGCCAAGTATTAGCTACTACAGTCTTGTTATTGTTAGGATCAATTCTTGTTAGGTTGATATAATTGGTCTATTATTCTGACATATCAGCAAGTGGAAGAACCAATAATAATCTCATGACCAATAATAATCTCAATAATATATATGTCAGTCCTCTACATTCACTAGAATTAGAGGCATAAGACCCTGCAAAGTTACAAATTTTTAAAAAACTACTTTTCGAACCTAAGATAACACCTTTCTAGGTATCTCTTGTCCCTTCAGTACAATTCTGCTAGAAGTTAACCATAGAGTTATATTGGAGAATCTAGAGATTCCTAGGAAGGCCATATTCAAGTTTACGAATAATAAAATCAAAGTTAAATCTGCAAATGTGGAATCCAAACTAAAGTCTCTCACACAAACACACACATATAACAGACAACCTCCTCTAAGACATCTTTTTTCCAGTTCAAGATGGTATGAGCACATTGTGAATCTCAGGTTAGAAAGAAGAGATGGGGAATTTGCATAAAGCAAGAACCAGAGCTCCTTCCTTAGTCTTATTGAGATTTTGTAGTATGTCTGCAATTATGCTCACTTGTGGATCTCCTTTGTGAATACCTTGCCTTGCTTTCTGTTTTTCCCTCTGCAGGTTTACAAGTCGTTCTCAAGTCCATCATGAAGGCCATGATACCTCTGCTACAAATTGGCCTCCTCCTATTTTTTGCAATCCTTATTTTTGCAATCATAGGGTTAGAATTTTATATGGGGAAATTTCACAAGGCCTGCAAGGATATTTATACAGGTCAGTATAAACAGAGCACCTTTTTTTGTGGTATCCCCTCCTTCCTTGGGTGGTCCTTGAGCTGTCCTGGCAGGAACTGGTTCCTGTTTTAATAATGCTCTGTGTGCACCCTGTAAAAGGCCAGCACATGGAAGGGGGCCTAGGGTGGGAAATGTGTGTGGTAGATCCTTGAGTACCCCACACAATGACCGTGAAGGAAGCAACTTCTTGAAGAGCAAATGCTGATATTATTGGGTAAACAATATATGTGTTTTTGCCTTCCTCCTGTACTGATTTATCTGCTCTTGCTTATCTGCCTGCCACAATTGTACTAGAAACCCCCACTTTTTTACTCTTTCCCCAGATGAAATCACACAAGAAGCTCCATGTGGAAAGGAATCACCATCACGCCTCTGCCCTAATGGGACCAAGTGTGAAGAATACTGGGAAGGACCCAACTACGGGATCACGCAGTTTGATAACATCTTGTTTGCCGTGCTGACTGTCTTCCAGTGTATCACCATGGAAGGGTGGACCGACCTCCTCTATATTGTGAGTGTGATTACACCACATGTTGTCTCAGAACCCTCTTTGCTCAATGTTAGGATGAGATGAGATCACCTTTACCAGTTATAAAAAATAATACAATAAATAGAACCCAGTTAAAATGATTATATTAAGCCTTTATTCAGAAAATATATGTATGCCAGAAAAAGCAATCACTCTTGAGAATAGTTCAAAAAGGTTTGTAAGTTTGTGTGAAAGAATGCAAGTACTGTCTTAAATTAGGTATAAGAACTATATCTTTCAATTTGAGAGACAGGAACATTAGAAGCTTCCTTATATTAAGTGAGATTGTTATTTCAGCAGTGAATCACAAAGCTTCAGGGTGAACTTTTCCCCCAGCTCTACTTGGAGAGATGTAGTATAATAATAATACACTTTATTTATATACTGCTCTATCTTCCTGGGGGGACTCAGAGCAGATTACAGCATACACATATATAGGCAAACATTCAATGCCTTTTATACAGTAACAACAATGACATACAATGCACGAACAAAGGCAAAGGTTTCCCTTTCCATCTCCGGCGTCTAGTATTCACTGTTGATCCATGACTAGAGTAGATTCATAAAATCAAAGAACCTTACAGTTAGAAGGGGCCACAAAGACTGTTTTGTCTAATCTCATTCCATGCAGGAATGCACAATTAGTTGTACTAATTGTACTAGTTTTAGCAATGACCTATCCTTCTTCACTTCTAAAATCCGATGAGATCAAGTGCGTTCAAGGTGCTATGGTAGTAAGAAGTGTGAACTAAAATACAGGAATTGGAACATTTTAACTCCCATTCCTCACTCACCTGTTGTCTATATATATTGACATGCCTGTAGCCTGATTTCTCTTTCATGCTTCATTTTAATCAGTAGCGGCACATTCATGTTTTCACCTTCTCTAAAGTCAACTCTTGATAGGTCTGTGGTTGAACTGAATGCTGAGTAGTCTGCCAACTTTGAGGTATTATTCTTCTGTTCCAATAGGAAGAATAAAACATTGATCATGACTTGGGGTTTCCATGAGAGATCACATTAATCCATTGCAAGTTTTTTCTTGGTATCTGATATATAGTATATACTTATATATAAATTAATCTCCTATATAAGTTGAGAACAGGTTTGGGGACCAAAATTATGGGTTTTTTTTTTTTTACAACTAGGCTCTTCCAGGACTAAACTTTCCTTTCACCACTCGGTTCAGAAAAAGGTGCGGTTCCTTCTCTGAAAAGAGTTAAGGTACAGCACTCACATTAATGCATGGATAGGTTGACCCAGGCTTTTCGAGTTTTATGTGAGTATATAGAGTTATCGCTGAATATTTATGTAGGCAGGCACAAAAGCCGAAGTCCATAGACATATTCGCGTAGTTTATAAAACAGGCTTATTGGGAATCCACATCACTTAGAGGTGAGCACATGCCAGCTCTGTGTATTGAAGAGCTAGGATGCATTTTTGATTAAGGCACATTTCTAAGAATCTGTTTTCAAAAGTGAGATAGCCAAAGTGAGGATGGAGACATAGGTGTTTTTCATGAAATACAGTGGAGTAAAAAGGGGTATGACTCCTCTGATGAATCTCCCCATTGCTAATACCTCAGATGAAGCTTTGCTTCAAGAGAGAAAAACAAAGCTCACAGTACTGACATGGTCAATATAAGCATGGCTATGCACAAGTCTTCCCTTGTACCAGAGCTCTCCATGTATGTTGCAGAGGCCTTAAAACAGACCTAGCAGGGTTGACAGAAGCAAGAGATGGGTGAGACATGTGAAGAGGAACTGGCAGGTCACCAGGGCTGGAGGATCACTATTATGGATAAAGCATTGATTAGCTTTGTAAACAGAAATGGCTGAAATGAGGCATGTCTAATCAGTGTTTCAAGAAGCCTGAGGTCAAAAAGCTAGGTAGATCAGGCCCCATTTGGGGAGAGAAAACTCAAGGGAAAGGGAAGGGAGCCAGAAGTCAAACACAGTTCTTGTTCAAGGAAATTGATTGTAGATAGTGTCAAAGGGGCCAGTAGTGAGAAATATATAGGGGATTGTATTCTTATCATGAGTGCATCTCTATTTTTCATTTTAAAAAGCATCACCTCCAAAATATACCTCATATCTTAAATATTGGCTATGGGATAACACATTGTTGTTGAGGGACTTTTATGTTCAGAGGAGGCAGATCCTATGACTGTTGTACAACAGTACAGGACTGACAGTCTTACTTACTGAACCATATGCATGAACACTGCATTTCAACATTTCTTTTGAGATTTCATAGTCCCATTAAGTAACCATTAAAAAAGGGGGGTCAACCTTCCCTATCCTGCTTTCCTAGCTTTTAGTGTGTTTATATTTTGGTGTTGTAGTGGTGGTGGGTTTGGGGTTAGATGAGGGGGTTAAGTGCACATGTCTTTGTATAACCATTTTTTCTTTGTCATTTTAGCCTATGTATGCTTAAAATTTAATAAGCACTATTTAATAAAAAAAATAAAGGGGGGAGGTCATGCAGAGCCAAGTGGTTGATAGATGGCAGAACAGGATTGTACATAGAATTCCTACATAACAAAATAACAGTTAACCTCCAACAAAGTCAGTTAACCTCCAACTTCAACAGCAAAGGGGCTACAATGACTAATGTTCAGATGGAATCTCTTTTCCTGCATTTTGAATCAATTGCTCTATTGTGTCCTAGTCTCCAGAAGAGCAGAAAACAAGCTTGCCTCCTGCTCAACATGACATCCTTTCAGATATATATAGCTATCGTGTCCCCTCTCAGTCTTCTTTTCTCTAAGCTAAGCAGACCCCTCTGTGTTGTTACATGACTTCATGTCAACTCCAATTTATGGCATCCCTTACCATAGGATTTTCCTGACAAGATTTATTCATAGACTTGCCATTGCTTTCTTCCATGGCTGAGAGGCAGTAACTTAATCACAAAATGAGTTTTCAGGGCTGAGGAAGGATTTCAGCTCTGGTCTTCTGGGGCCATCGTGCAGCTCCCAAAACTGTTCTGGCTCTAATCTCTGTACTAAACAGCAATCCTCAGACCATGGTATGAACTCCAGTGTTTCCCCTGCCCATTGCACTGGCCTTGGAAATTTGTACAGGGTGAGGCTGGGAATCATGAGGACTGTATGTGGCTCCATGTGAACTCTTCTCTCCCACAACAGTGTTACCCCATGGGGGAAAATGGTCCATAAATGAGAGTTGTGATGCATAGAAAATCCTTCATCTTGTTTAGCCCCAAGCTTTCTAAGCATTTGTTTTACTTTATATTTTTTAAAAGTCACCAGATTGATTTCTGGTACTGTTTTTAGGGACTAGGGCAGTTCAGAATGCGTCCAGTGTCTGAAAGTTGGCCTTCAAACCCCTTGAACTTGCTTATTCCTAGTGTAGGGGGAAATATACCTTGAGGTAAATTAACCACAAAAACTTGTATAGACTTTGTATGCTAAATAGAAATGCCTTAAACCTAGGGTAGTAGTAGACTGTTGGGGCAATTAGTATAATACATCTGTGTAATATGTACATGACAGGTTTTGTAGGCCACATTTCTGAGGAAGGATATGACAAAACCCAAAGTATTATTTGTCATAGAAAACTGTATCAAAATGCATAGGGTTCATAAGTTGAAAGGTGGCTCAAAGGAACATATACACACAGTGTACTTAAGTGAATGATGCCATGTAGTGAATAATGTATCTAGTGTATTCTGGACTAGCTGCTTCATCCAAACCAGTCTTAATTCCACATTAAACACATTTCATGAATATAGTCTTGAGGTTACCACTGTTTAATATCATAGGTTCTAGGCTGTACCTATCCTGGAATGACCATCGCTAGCATATTAGCTTAAGCTGAAATTTGGCACTCCTGTCATGAAAATCCCTTAGATGTGTAATGACAGAAATGGATCCAGGACCACAACTTGAGGAAGTGTGATCTTGACTGAAATTCTAGTTTCAACTAAACTAGAAGGCAGCTAGTTTTAACTATAGATGGTCTGCGTTTTTAAATTTTGTTATTTTATTTTATTTTATGTGTTGATAGTGGTTGTTTTATAACTTTATATGTGATACTCTTTTATACTCGTGTACTGTTTATGTTATATTGCACTTGGAGTGCCTTGTAAGCTGCCCCAAGTTACTTTTGGGAGATGATGGCGGGATATAAATAAAGTTTATTATTGTGGATCTATTCAATTAATTACATTCAAATGAATACTGATTTAGTGCCCAGCTATTGAGTCAATGAGAGCCAGCATGGTGTAGTAGTTTTAGTGTTAGACTAGACCTGTAAGAAACCAAGATTTGAATTCCTGCTCAACCATGTTGGTCAAGACAGGTTACAACATTATTAAAACACACATTCACCTAAAAACATTATTTAAAATACACACATTAAAACACATTTATTTATTTATTCATTTATTATTCGAACTTATATGCCGCCGCTCCCTTGGGGCTCGGATCGGCTTACAAGAACAGGCTAAAATCGAACACAATTTAAAAACAATTAAAAACAATTTAAAAACAGCAATTTACACAAATATATATTAAAATATACAAAACAGAGATTAAACATAAGATGCAAGTTTCAAATTAATTATTAGAACTGTTTGGGTAGGCCTGCCGGAAGAGATAGATCTTCACTCATGTCTTTAATTGTGAAAGCTGTCAGAACTCTTCCGGCAGGTTGTTCCACAATCTTGGGGCGACCGCTGAAAAGGTCCTCTGGGTGTTGGATGCCAGTCACGTTCTGGCAGGCTGGATTAAACATCCCCCAGAAAACCTCCATGTTCGAGGTGAATTGTATGGAGAAAAGCAACCTGTAGGTAACCTGGAACCAAACCATGTAGGGCTTTAAAGATCAAACCAATCTTTTGTACTTTGCTCAGAAACTAATTGGAAGCCAGTGGAGTGACGTTAGGATAGGTGTTATATGTTCACTCCTAGATGTTCCTGTAACCAATCTGGCTGCTTTATTTTGAACCAACTGGAGTTT